AATAAGATAAAGATATTGTACCAAATCCATTGGCTCAGTTATGGGTGGGGTAATTTGTGAGTATGTGGAGTAGATCCTGTGTTTATAAAGAAAGAACTTGGCTGACCTCAACTTGGCGATAACACTATAACTTGTCCTTTCGATCATTTATGTTTATCCTGTTTTCAACTCCTCTCTCCATTTGTTCCATTCCCTTCCTTTCCCCCCCCTCCTATTTTTCCCCTCACATTAATTTGAGGATTTATTATTTCCTCATTTTATAACCAACAGGCTTCCACATTGATAAAGAATTTCCTGTACATTTCAAATCATTAGTGTACCGCAAAACAGCGTGTAAGCCACTGCTAAAATGGCCCTGACGACGCCCTACATTGATCATTTCAAACACATGCTGGAATAAAGGCATTTTATCATTTGAACAGTCCCTATAGTGTGTCTGGGCTTAAAATAGCCTTGTGGTTGTTCGCGTCTGATAACCAATCTAGATTTGACTATACTTGATATAAAGTATAAGTTACCTTTACCTTTCAACCACTAAATTCTAATCAAGTCATTCTTGAGTCCAAGTCTACCAGTAGTTCAAAAGATATCATGTTAATGAGAATGGGACGGACATACAGTTTACACATATGGACAGACAACTCAAAAATATTGTGTACCCCAACACAGCTGTTGCCAGGACTGGGAGAATGAACTGGCATTCATCACATCACTAGAAGTAAATGTCCTCACATTTTCACACAGCACCTTTTTGTTACACAACACTCAAAATGCTTTGGACTACAAGTTACATTTTTACCATCCATTCATGCAGACTCCATACAGAAAGACCCAACCAGGACATTCAAACACCACCTTCTTTTAAGGTGATAGCGCTACCTAAAGCATTATCATGGCTACTACTACATCTGACCATTGTTCCAGACCTCTGAAGGTATCCTGTGGTATCAGTCACTAGAGATGAGCAGAAGAGCTTTTAAGGTTTATGCTGTGAGGTTGACGGTCAACAGGTACTTCCCACACTGATAATGGTTTGGAACATAAAATGTCTAAATGTTGCAGGAAAAGACCATCAACTTCTTTCTAAAACGTAAAGTTACAGCATGTAAAATGTTTCACCACACATGAAACATACTAAGATGACTGTTGAGGATTTACTGAATTGTCAGTAGCACTAGTATGTTTGCCACTGTTAGCTACTATTAGCCTCTGTTAGCCTCTATTAGCTACTATTTGCTGCATGGCCGAATAAGCTAGAAGTTGAAATTTCCAAGTTCCCAGTCAAAATGTAAGTCTTGGAAGCCTTCTCAACTCAGATTTCCCAATTGGAAGGTCGGAGCAGCCCCGCCAAACCTGAATTAGCAATCAAAGATTACAGCACTGAACACAAACAGTACTAAAACTTTTTATCCGTACGGCCACTGTTGTGTATTTATGAATCACCAAATAAGCTATACACAGAGCACTGATCATACTCTATACATGAACATGATGCAATTGTTTTAAATGCAAAAAAGAAAAAAGAAATTGCTAGTGATACATGAATCGCAAAACAAATCCTGCTTTTCCTCACTTTTTCTGAAAAATGCTCCAACATCCAAGTTGCAGTATCTGGGACACACCATAAAGTCTTGAGAATGTAATTAAACTGTTTATCATTGGGAAAGTGGGACACTCGAGACTAATATTAGCTGGTATAATGTTAGATTACAACCAGCTGTTGTTTTTTAGCCGTCTCTTTTCTGATCTGCTGACATTAAATAACTGCAGCAATATTGGGTAAAATAAGCATGTTTGTGCACGTTTGTGTGTTAGAGGCCTAACTCCAGTTCAGAAGACAAGGCTTGAGTTGAGGAGAAAGAGGATTTTTAGGATGCCAGTGGTGTTGTCTTTTGAGAGCTCCTTCCCAACCACTGTATTCAAATATGAAGAAGGAACATGGTGACTTCCTTACACCACAAACCAACTCCTATTTATTTTCAAAAGACAAATTATAAGTTTATTAGAATGTCTTAGTTTGTTGCAAGATGTAATTACACACTATTCTGTTTATATTTATGAATACAGGTATCCTTCTTTTCTATTAAATAACCTCAAAACATTACTGACTGTACCTTTAAGGTGACAATATCTAATTAAAAAAAATGCACTGGCACTCACGCTACATTGTGCCTGTCGCCAACGCCAAAAATTGTCACATTCTTTTTTATTAACAGAAGGTATTGTGCTCTGATAGGCATCCCTACACTCTTGTCTCATATCCTCTGACCCGTATGTGTACAGTGTTTCAGTGCAGAAAGAAACAGTATTCATGGAGAGATCAGAAAAAGCAGAACACCTTGTTCCTCCCTCACTGTAACAGTCCTGGCATGGCTTTTAATTAACTGGCACAATGCCTGCCATACCAGGCATTTATTGGGCAGGAGGCCCCTCTGGCATCAATACAGATCATCATCAGGGGCTCAGCTGGTGGTATTAAATTTTCTGGGCAAATGTGTTACATTGCACCACATCTTGCTTCCGTAATAAACCTCCTCTGGATGATTTTGGGAACGCTGAGCTCCTTCTCTAATCTAAGGAAGCGTCTGCTGAGAAGCTTGCAGCGGTTGTTGCCAGCACCAACAATCGGCACGGCATACACACGCCATGTTCATTGCTAAGGGCTCAATAGCAGCGTACATCTATACCTGGCACATGAATCACAGTTAACAGTTAAGAACCCTGGCTTTCCAAAGATAAATTTATGCAACCTTTAGGCTAAATTTATACCATTAAAAACATTTTCTGAGATTGCTTTCACAATAATGTCCGTCCAACTTTCTTCTTTTTTTAAAAAAATCCAAAAAGTAGTGGTTTTATGCATCTCTAGTCGAGTGTGTGTATTCAGAAGTGTAGTGGAGACATTCTTGACCCATGCCCAGTGTGGGAGTCAGCCTCTATGCCAACCTTGGCAGAGCAGAAATGCCTTATCTCACTTTAGAATTTACTTTTTAAACAAAAACTGCTGGGACCTAACACGAGTAGCTCAACAAAGTGCAAAGATTGTGTGACGCAGTAACAAAATGTACTGACGTCTTTATGCATGCATTCATTTATGATCTCCCAAATCCACAGATGTGACTGAAAACAAGTCTATACATATTCATCTAATGTTTTGGGTATAGTTAGACGACGTCAGACTGAAGGAGTCTGGATCTTATGGAAATCCCCGATGCCTCTCACCATTGCACCGAGATTACAGCTCCAACTACAAGAAACAAGAGGAACCTCCTCTGTCGTAACCTAATTAGCCAAGACTGCATAAGCACTGCCAGACAAAGACACGTTACAGCCCTGAGCAAATGAAACACAATTTGTACTTTCATGGTTTTAGCATAAGCAGTCTCACTAAAACAAGGTTCCACTTGTTTGTGGGATGTTTTCGCGTTTCAGGTCTGACTGCATATAGGTGTGATTAATCAGGGCATAAAACTAACGTTAGCACCCACAGTTCCCACCAGACTATGCTGAAGACAATAGTGTTCACAGAGAAAAAACAGGACTGGTATATTGCTGCACCTCTGCAAGCTGCAACAAGATCTGCAGAGTACAGCTCAGGGGAAAGTCTAAGTGTTCCCAGAAGTTTCTTAAAGGAGACCTAGTGTGCTCATTCCCAGCTCCATACTTTTAGTCATGGATTCTACTAGAACAAATGGCACGAGAATGAAGCCATTTCAGCACTTTCCCCCATAAAGACTACGTCTGACGATCTCCCTTGTAGCCTTAATGACGAGTTTTGACACCGGGCTTGATGACATGATTTCTCCAAGGGTAGCTCTAGTAAGGCAGAGATCAACCTCACTAATTTCTGACGCACACCCAGTCATTTTGCTTGGGAAGGCCTAAAATATGAAAGAAGCCACTCAGTTCAAAAAAGAGAAACAAGTGTTACCCCTAGCAGTCATCCAAGGGGGAGGCCATCTTCTGACTGGCTGCCTCTCACAAACTGAATGCCTTGACAGCAGATAGGCAGGGATCACTTGCACATGTCCTCATTATTTCAGGCTTGGGCTCTGTTTAATATGCGCATTCACCATTTTAACAGTGCATACTACAAAGATGACAGAAAATTAAAGAAAAGCAAGAAAAGGTCCCCTTTAAGAGATTATGAGTATCTTATGTACTGCCTTTACTGAAGCTGGTGACTGTGAGGTTAAACCCCACTATCCGCTTAGAGTCTATCCTGTTTGAAAGTGTGCCACAGTGCTCCCATGTAACCTGAAGACGAGGTAAGCAAGCAATGGAGTCACAGAACAGGATGGACAGATTTCTTCACAGCAAACAAAGTGTGCTTAAGGTCAGAAGGCGAGGAGTAAGTCAGTCTGTTTAAACATCCCTTCAGAAAGCAAGCAAACATACCTGGGAACCGATACGCAGGATATCAAGCCGGTTCCCAGGACTTTGTCTTTATCCATCACAGATGACACATTAAAAGAACATACTGCTCTAAACTGGTGCAACAACAAATCACTTCACCTTGTCGTAATGTACTTAGTCTGGGTAACTTTACATTTTAAGAGTCATTCCTTCCTGACAGGTACATGTTTGCCTGATTCACGTCAGTACAAAATGTAGATCAACTGGCACCGCCTCAATGGAGACGGGGAATTTATCAGCACAACAATAAACACGATTTATGTTTTGGATTTGCATGTCTGTCAAAGGTACCTTATGTCGTAATTTGCATTGCAAGAATAGACTTTATTAAGGATGGTTTGATGTCCAAAATTGTGACTAACCTGCTTAAATTAAGATGCAGTAGAAGAGAAACTACAGACTGTCTTACTGAATGACTGAGCTATACGTAATTTATATGTTTATGGACAAGAAAAAACTCTTTGAGTTCTGAGGTGAAATAATATGAAATAAAAAGTATAAAACACAATGGGAAACTTAAAATCAAACAATGTTTAGACTGATAATTAAAATAGTTCATAAAATGAGACCATGTGGGATTTTACCATGGCTGTTGCCCTGCAGATGAGCCTGCCTTCCAGACTTCTGTCCTCCCTTGTGTCCACCCTGATTCCCAGCAGGGTGCCCATCCAAAGCCAGGTCCAGAGCAGGACCCAGCCCGGGGTTCTTCTCATTCAGGCTGAGATTCTTCCTCCTCTTACCCTTCAGCCAGCCCAAAGCGCGACCCAGCGAACGAGTGCGCTTCTTCCGCCCCTTTTTGCTGTGCTTCTCGTGAGCAAAAATGTTGACCACGTCCTGGGGAAGCAGGTCCCCAAACCCCAGTGAGTCACGGTTTGACATCCCACCTCACACTGGAGCTACACCCTGAGAAACAGGAAAGATATTACATTTTAGTTCTCATCCAAGCAACACATGCACCAGCACTCAAGAAGAGAGAATAAATGAAAGACCCGAAAACTCTCTCCCACTGTTTTTCCCCAATCATAGTAACAATCAGCTTGCAGAGAGTAGAGGCCTACTTAAGGTGATAAATCAGTCACAGTGAGTTTTGAATAAAAAGTTGACAAAATGTTACCTTTACTACTTGTCAGAGCTGCCCTGTCATTAAGAAAACGCAACTTACTGCATAACAGAAACTTGGGTTCAGCGCAGAAACCCTTTAACTCAAAAACTTCAAAATTCAGTGTACTTACAATAAGTGTACTTTCTTAGTTTGATTTCCTGAAAAAATCAAAAGATAAATATCCCTTATTGTCATATACTTCCACATGTGTGTTGTTTACATTTCAAGTTAAAGCTGTAATGCTTTCGGAAAAGCTTGACACTACAAATCTAGAATTAACGCCTTTGCCTGCACCGACCAGACAAGCTACAGTTTGAATCCATTTCTATCCAGGTTCATGTAACACAAGCAGGCAAGACTTTGAAGGAAGGAATTAGGTGTATCTAAACTTGGTCAGCACAAAGTTGCAACCATGACATTAGAACATTTATACTGTAACCACAGCTTCAAGATGAGCACTGGCCCCTCTGTTATGGCACTAGCTAATGATGAGCTATCATTTCATAATGTAGCTGACCTTTCACCTTTGACCTCTGAGATAAATAATGTCATCAATTCATCAAGTTAAAATCATGTTCGCGGCAAATGTTGGAATGAAAATGATGTTATGTGAGGCCTTTAGTGTCCTTGACCTTTGCCACAAATTTCTACTTAGTGGTTAGTGGTCAAAGTTAAATAGGGTCCCTCGGTGCACTTGTAAAAATATGACATTCATGATAATAGGATGGATGGACTTTTAGCCTTGCATTTATTTACATCATTGGTTCAGCTGCCTAATTATGTATTTACAATAACTTGATTTTATGATGTAATGATTACCAGGGAGAACAATTGCTACGTTGTTGGTGGCTAACGTAGATCCAAAGCAACAAACAACCACACAGACAACAGACCTCTTCATAAGCACAGAGGCACAACTCTGGGCAGAAAACCTAAAAACGACTACAAATATATCCAACATGTATCCCTGGTAGCAAAGTCTATTTTACTCAGACCACTCCTCCTGTGTTTGTGTTTGTGTGTCTCCGTGGTCACTGCTCATTCAGCCAGCACGCTCTATCCTACACAGACCCCCTCCAGCCTCTAAACCAAACTTCAGCTCTACAAAGAAAGAACTGGCACCGCTCCCTTCATTCCATAACGTGGAGTCATAATTCACAAAGCCACACCCGTAAGCTCACGCACTGCATACATACAGGCACAGCAGCACGCTAAGAAGAGCAAAAAGACACAAAATAAACAGCAACCAGTGAGTGTGTCCATTCACGCACTTTTTATTGTCATCCCTCATTGTTTTCCTTTACTATTGTTTTATTCATCATCCACTGAATGAGCGCATCGCTTTGCTTCCTTCCTCCGCCCGTCACCTTGTTAAACTTCCCTACTCTGAGGCAGATTTCCCAGCCCTGCTCCTGGGGATCTGTAAGCTTACACTGGACTTTTTCCAGCTGCGGTTTTTATTAGATACTTATGTCCAAATCATAGTCTGAAAATAGGGACAAACTCTTAAGATGACAGGAGCTTGTAAGCAGACAAAGAATTAGGGAAGGTGGGAGTTGAGTCTGAGCGAGTAAATTATGAATCCCCCGGTGCAGTCGACAAAGTTCAGGCATAAGTTGTTTCTTTGGCTGCTGTGCTGCTTTTTCCAAAAAGATTTAAGTAACGTGTGAGTAACACAGCCAAACATGTTTCTAGAAAGACTTTGAACCTTAAGTTGGTGAGACATGAAACTAAACCACACAAACCCAAAGTCGTGTTCTCTGAGGATTTACAAATGGGACTTTTTCCAAAACAGCCTCTCATTATCAAAACTGCAACAGGGAAGTGAGACGACTCTGGTCTGGGTGCATCATGTGGAAGATATTTAAGCAGATGTGCACTTTTAAAACCAGATGTTTGACATTCTGTTTATTAAGTAACATTTTCTTTAGTCTTGGGTCAAATCTTGACAAAGTAGGATTCTCGTGAGTAAAGAAAATGACACAAGGAATATATAACATAATTTTACACCTGACTCAAACTAATATAATCTTATTAAGGTTGGTGCCAGTTTGGAGTGTTAAACACCAACTGGGAAGTAATCCCAGAAGTTTAAAAAAAACATCTAACATGTGGATCAAGGTCTTAAGGTCAGCATCCCAATCCCTTTTGACCATCCCATGGTCATTACTTTTATATTACAAAAAAAAAAAAAAAAA